ACAGTCATCTGGTGGAAGGGATGCTTCGGCTCGGTGGCCAGCGACACCCAGCTGCCCGCACCCATGGCCGTTAGGTCAAGGTGTGATGACTCATCTTGTGCTCATTCATGAGCGCTCTTCAATCCTCGCGTAAGTCAGGCTCTGAGTCTTCCAGACAAGCCATGACTCAGAAATCGCAGACTGACAACGCACACATACAACCAACATTAGCCACCACAGACACGCTGAGTGGCCTCGTAGACATCAGCAGACTCGTTGTCGGCCGTCTACTGGGAAGAGGAAATCAAGAAAACGGTCGACGAGATATAAAATGTAGACAGCGGTATGCCTCGGGCCTTCAAAGGGGCAGAGGCAGAGACACAGACACAGAGAGACACACGGTGGAACACACACATACAACACACACATACATACACGCTTCTATGGGTGTATTGTCTCGTGTGTGTGTGTGTGTGTTTACCTGCAGTCAGGCTGTGAGGCGCCGAAAACCACCTCCTCGGCCTCCTGCATGAAGGAACACTCGGCCTGCCTCTGCCCTGTCTGCGGTCACTCACCTGCAGCTGTTTCAGGGTGTGGTCGAGGTCGACGATGCGTCTCGTGAGCCGGTCTTCGAGCAGGTTCAAGCGGGCTGCATAGACAGACAGAGAGAGCGTGTTGGCGTGTCCACATACTACATGGACGGGAGTTTGGTCACTCTTGGCTCGGTCTCGGTCCTCAACGAGCAACACTATCTCACTAATGAAGTGCTTGTCGGTGGACACGGCCGCCATCACTGAAGGAAATAAAGGCGACTGTGCTTTTGGTTGACGCATGCACACGCGCGTCCGCTCGCTCTGTCCCTCCTGCCCTGTCCTGCCCTCCCTATGGCCCCCCTCGTTCCCAGCCATCGTGAGACGGCCTTTCTTGCGTACCTCGCCAGACCTTGTCTGTCTTGGCAGAGTGAGGGATGCGGTCCATGTGCCAGAGGTGCAGCTCCCACAGGCTGCTTGCTGCTGTGGCCATTGCTGCTCCAGCTCCCTCTTCTCGTCTGCCGGCATGAATGGCGGATATGCACAGACATGCCGCAAAGAATCGATCAAGGGATTGTCTGTCTCTCCTCGTGTGTGGCTGCTCTGACCCCATTGTGCAACTGTGACTGACCCTTTATTTCTCGGATGTGTGCGTACAACTCCTCAAGGCGCCCCTTGAACTCCTGGATGCGGGCTGCATAGACAGAGAGCGTGTGGGCGTGTCCACATACATTGACGGGAGCTTGGTCTCACCCTTCGCGTATTCTCGGTCCTCGATGAGCTCCCTTATCCCCTCCATGAGCAGCCGGTCGCTGGGGATGGTCGCTATCACGGCTGCAGCATTGGGAGCGACGCACAGCACACAGAGAAGAAGGAAATGAAGGCGACTGTGCTCTCCGTCGACGCATGCACACGCGTGTCCGCTCGCTCTGTCCCTCCTACCCTGTCCTGCCTCCCTATGGCCCTCCTCGCTCCCAGCCGTCCTGCCCTCTTTCTGTCCGTTCCTGAGGCTCGGAGTCTCTCCTTACCTCGTCCGACCATCTCCCTTTTGACGCGAGGCGGGCCGGCTGTTTAA